GGGCCGGCCGGCTCGGCTGCTCGGGCTGCAGCCGGTGCCTCCGGCCTCGCTCAGGACGGGTCCTGCCGGCCGGCTCGGAAAAGGGTAGCGCTGCCCGCCCCCCCGCGGGTGTTGGTAGCTCGCAGTAGGGTTTGCGGCCGGGGCAGAAGCTCGGTTTTCTGAGCGGGGGAGGGAAGGTAAATGCCGCCTTGGTGACTGTAGTTGTTTTGAGTGCGCTGTAGGCAGCGGCGTTGTTCCCGGCAGCTGGTCTTACGCTGGTGTCCCTCGGGGAGCCCTCCGCGTTAAAGTGGCTGCTCTTTCCTCCTGCCCGGTGCCCAGGGCTGAACCGTCCTTCAGAAGGTGCAGTGAAACCACGCTTCCTTTCCCACAGAGGCCGTTGCCTATTGATCACCCTCCTGCCTGTGCAAGGTGCCCACTTGACGTTTGCAGTTGCTGTGTTGGGAAACCTCTGGCTTTGGGAGCAAAGCTCCCATCACCTCTGACAACGGCTTCCAGGAGGCTCTGCTGGCAGGGGAGTTGGCGGGCAGGGCAAGTGGAAAGCCGTGAACCGCCTCGCTCTCAGCTGTGGAGTGACAGGGCTTAGTGTGTGTGTGTTTCAGATGCATACCTCATATGCTGGGTGTTATCGCTCCAGAAAGAAGCTAAATTGAAATTCCAACTCTTAACACTGTTTATGGTAGCAAACCCAAATTGTTTTTAACTACCGGTCCCTCTGTCTTTCGCTGCTGGGCTCCTTTCCATCTCAGAGTGCACTGTGTGTTATATCTAGTGTTTGTGTTTATGGTTTATTGAAAATAAGACATTAAAGGGTTCTAATGCGGGTAATGCTCTCAACCCACAAAGCATATGTGGTCCTTATGCAATGTAGTTGTGTGACTGACAGTTTATTTTAGCATCAGAAGAATTCTTCCACGGGCTTTGGCCACACCCAGACGTACATCTTCGCAAGTGCTTTTGCCTGCTGGAGTTTCAGTAGCCAACATGTTTTGAAGTGCTGTGAAAAAGAAAAGAAACCAAGCGATAGTTTTGCGGAGCTGACGCGTTCCTGAAAAGTGTGGCTCGTGATTCTGCAGGCTGCTCTTGCGGCATGGTTGTTGGAAGCTGCTCGCTTGAAGGTGTTTGGCGTTTGATACTGAGAGTTGCTGGCTCCTCCTGAGAGGCAGTTACCTGGAGTGGGGGATGCTTGTTTGGAGCTGGTTGTCATACAGTGGCACTTGAGTAGATCGCAGTTATCTGAATTACTCTGATGTTACAGTATTTCTGAACTGTGGGTGTCTCTGCAGCCAAATTTGTAACTGGTGAATATGTCCATATGTGTTTGGAAGAACGTGAAGCACTAGGTCAGCTCAGATACTTTGAGCTGTCCTATGCAAAATCTGACTGAGAAATAATTAAAGCAGTGCTAGCAACCAAAGCAAAGCTGAAAAGAGCAAAGAGTGCAGATAAAAGCACTCAGCTAGGCCCAGGAGGAGCAGCCAGTGTGGTTGCACACACAGGTGTGGAAGGTTAACCTGGGGAGAGCCAGAGCAGAGCTCCCAGGGACCGGCTGGAGAGGAAGCCCTTCACCTTGGGGCAGTGCGAATCCTTTTGTGCCAAAGAGTTCACAAGAAAGTCATTTTTAGAAATGTGTGTAACTGCTGCATTGTGTTTCCTTTTCACCTGCTAGCCCCTCTGTGTGGTGCTGGGAAGCTGCAGTTTAGACTTCTATAGCTTTCCCTTTATTTCATAAAGGTCACATTAAAGGAATCGGTACTGAAAAGGTGCAGAGCCATCCCTGACACTAGAGGGGAGAGAATGAGAGGAAGTTGTGTGTTCTGTAGTTAATTCAGCTTTAGATTTTAGGTGGATCAGGACACAGAAGCTCAATTTAAAAAAAACCAAAACCAAAAACTTACAATTTCAGGCTGTAGTGGTTGTATAATCTGGAGGGTTAAGGTCTGTTCACGTCAAACAGTTAAGAGCAGTAATGTGTTCTGGTTCCCATATCTAATGTGTTCATAGGGTTCATTCCTCCCAGCAAGAAGCACATCTAGAGTGGTAGCTACCTGTTTGTTACAGAAGTTGGCTAACAAAGGTAATTAAGTGATGCGTGAGCAAGGATTTGTGTGAAGTCTATTAAAAAGGGAGCATTCTGCTCCTTCCCAGTGCTTTTGTTGACTAGTGGGTTGTGCAGTTGGCATATTTACATTTAGTAAAAACATCAGATCATAACATGTTTAAATATAGGACACTTATGGGGAAAGGGGGGAGAGGCAATCATTTATATAATTAATTCTTAACTGAAGCAGTGAAGAGAAGCCAGGAAACCCTAACAGACCAGCACTCTCTCCAAAAGGCCCCCAGCACTGCTGACCTTCGAGCTCCTGGGGGGGGCTTGAACTAGAGAAGTGGGAGAGGGGCCAGAGCAGCAGCTTTGCTGGAACAGCTCTATCGGGGAGCTGAGAGAGTCCCGTGTTGTTGCCTTCCTGAAGTCTCGGGTCGTGGCTTGAAACAACCACCATAAAGTGATTCTCCAGTTGCAAAAAATGCTTGGGGGTGGGCAATTCTTTTTCCCCACTTTTCCTGACAACTGAGGTTTTGCTCTCTCATTCTCTTATTACTAAAGATTGTTTGCTAACTTCTGTATACAGACCAGTATTTGGGGTCTCGCCCATAGCCTGCAATCACAAGCCTGATTACAGAGCATATGCTCGGTCAGTGTTTTCTAAAAGAGCCTCTGTAATCAGCCTGTTTGTTTTACCAGTTTTGTATGTGAGGAAGCAGCATAAAAATCTGTGTCAGCCTCTTCCTGAAAGAGGCTGTGGGAAGAAGGAAGGGTTGGCAGGCAGATGGAATATTTGTCAGATGGAGAGAAGGTAATCCAGGGGTGAAAAGCATGCCACTGGAGGAGGTTACCTGACTGTAGCTCCACTGAAATCCTCTGTGGCTTGGAGAATTGAGGAATGCCTGCTTTTAGGAAGGCCGAGGGCTCCTTGTGCCCTAAGGTCGTGACAGTCATGGTTCCTAACTGCTGACGGTGCTTAATCTGAATTAAACCTCTGGAGTAGGTGTCTGCATGACTGCGGGTATTGGTGGAACCTTGTTTTGGTGGATTCTTGGTTTGGTAGCCAGTTCAAGGACTAGTTGTGGATGCTGTACTGTCTGTTCATCTGTGTGTCAGAGCTGGTGATGTCTGGTGGTGATGCTGACACAGATGCCAGCACAGTCCTAGCTCCACAGCTAGAGAGCTGCTTGCTTGTTGATCTGAACCCTTTTGTGGACATCTGGTTTCCGTCACAAAATAAACAATGGGGATTTTATTCTTGTCCTTAAACTGAAGGAGAGGATACTGGCAGGAGGAGGTTCTTCATGGCTGTTTCATGCTTTGCAGAAAATGATCTGAAGGTGAGCTGGACGGTGCCCGCCGGAACTAAATCTGTCTGAAAAAAAATCTTCCTCCACCCAAAGGCCTGTTTGTCATCAAAAGGGAACCTCCACAACGGCCGAACTCTGCAAGTGATGGGCTCGGAGAACAGCGCTTTAAAGAGCTACACACTAGAAGAGCCACCGTTCGCACTGCCAACTGGACACACAATTTACCCGGCTGTGCTGCAAGATGGCAAACTTGCTTCGGTCTTTGTGTACAAGCGAGAGAATGAAGATAAGGTTAATAAAGCTGCCAAGGTACTGTAGAGAGTGTGCCTGGGACAGACTTGTCAGAGCTGTCCCTCCTTTTTCTTGGAGGGGTGGGAATCAGTTAATGAGGGTCAAACCCTCTGGGGAGTAAGGGCTGGAGAAAAGGTCAAAGTTGACCCTGGCTGCAAACAGCTGCTGTGCAGGGAGGAAAAGGGGATCTGCAGCTGTGAAGCTCATCGTGCACCGCACGATGTGAGCAGTGGCGGGAAGCGATGTTCAGATAGCAATACCTGCATTATGTTGCAGAGTACTGGTCTCTTCCTGCGGATATAAGTCAGAGAGTCTTTCTTGGGTGGATCCTACCAAAAATACTGTCTTTATTCTGTGTAAGACTTAGTATCTAGATGTATTATAAAAGTTCTGTAATAAGTGATTGAGTGTGCTCAGTGCTTGCTGAGGAGCAGGTAGGAGCTGTCTAAGTTCAAGCAGAAAACATGGCTAAAAGTACAAGACTAAGCTCTGCAGCCAAAAGAGATGCCTTGGATGAGATTTAACAGATGTCTTTGTTTCTGGAAGCACCTGAAAACCTTGCGCCACCCTTGCCTTCTGCGCTTCCTCTCTTGTACTGTGGAAGCAAATGGAATCCACCTGGTTACAGAACGTGTGAAGCCTTTGGAGATGGTTCTGGAGGTGCTCTCTTCTGCAGAAATCTGCGCAGGGATCTACGACGTGTTGCTGGCGCTCATCTTCCTCCATGACAGGGTAGGTACTGTCTGCAGCAGTCATCAGGCTTTGGTGGGAGCCAGATGAAATGTGACAGGAGAGTGTTGTATCTGGGCTTGCCTGGATGACTGTCTCATTCCTGGTTCCTCACAAAAAGACAAACACACATCCCGCAGTTCTTTGAGGCTGAAACTGCTAAAATCATTGGCTGCTTCGTAGGAGGAAGGGTGACTGAAAATGCTGTGGGTTTTGGAAGTAAGGGAGCGGTTCTCAATTTGTGAATTGACATCTGCTTGCAGTGCTTCTTACTTTAGTGAAATGGGATTGCTCAGCCTTCATGATGGCATTCATTTACATGTTGCCATGTGGCAAGAGATTGGTGTCACCACTCTCGTGTTTTGGCACTGTGTGTTTGTCCAGAACTGCAGTTAAATCTCAGCTCAGACTGTAGCTTTTGTGTTCATAGTTGGAAGTCTTTGGATTTACAGTTGCATTGCAAGGGCTGTGACAATTGGAGCTTTGTTTACTCTAAAACCCCAGCCTTTCTGCCTGATATCTGCTAGTCACCTATAAAATCCCAAAGGACCTTTAGAATTGTGTGCTTTTTGGCAGCTTCTCCTCAGCTCCTCGCAGCACGTAATTAGTGCTGATTAAGATTTTACATCTTCATCTATCCCCAAGTCTGTTATCCTTTTTTTTTTTTTTTTCCCCTCTGTTTTAGGGAAACCTAACACATAACAATGTCTGTTTATCATCTGTGTTTGTAAGTGAGGATGGGCACTGGAAGCTGGGAGGAATGGAAACAGTCTGTAACTTCAATGAAGCCACCCCAGAGGTAAGAGCCAAGCGAAGTGCACCCTCTGATGCCTGGGAGAGGGCTCCTGGCCTGCTGAAGCTGCCTATCTATGGATGTGAAGGCCCAAGTCCTTCCAGTTATCTGAATTTACTATTAAGCGTGTTGGCTCACTTCCAGCTCTGACCTGAATATTTGCTCTAGGGACACCATAACTATAAACTACAACTACACAAACAGAAACTAATTCCTCATTAGCCAAAAAGCAGCTACTTTTCTAAGGGAGGCTGCTGGCTGCAGGGTAGGTTAAGACCGGGGAGAGCGAGAAATCTTCGCTCCTCTGCACTGATTTAACAAACTGAAAAAAAAAAAGCTTTAGTGTGAAGCAGGAAGATCCAGGTTGAGATGAATCAATAAGGAAAATTATTTAAATGACTCCTTAGGTTTTGCTGCTGGCATCTTCATTGCTTGTTACTGGTCTTAGCACAAAAATGCCTGGTTTGATTTCTGCTGCGTGCTGTGCAGAGTCATTGCTGCAGCCTGGCACTGTGTCGTAAATGTATATTGCCTTTTCTCCCAGAGGATCCACAAATCCTTCACAAACTGTATTGAATGTCCCTGGTGTGTATCACCTTTCAGAAGTGATCAGGCAGACACACAACTGGTGTGCATGGTGGTGCACAACAATGCAAAGAGCATGGCTGTAAAACCTCACTGCTAAAGCTCATGAAATCCTTTCCCTGTCCAGAAGGATCATGTGGGACGGTAGGACTGAGGACTAAAGGGATGAGTTGGCCGTGATGCCCTGAAGTTGCTTTCTGTCAGCTTGGTGCTTCACACCTGGTCCATTTGTGCTTCCCCGCTGGGCAGAGCAAAGTGCAGCCTGCCCTCGGTGCCAGCTGAAGGGGCAGGGGCAGACCTCCTGCCACACGTTCAGCCCTGGCATGCGGGGAGACCCTACCTCTGCTGCTTGGCACAGATAAGCAATCGAGGCAGCTCATGTCTCCCCTCTTCTCCTTCCAGTTCCTCTGTCATGTCAAGTCGGTACGAGACCAGTCGTGCATCCCTTGTGAGGAGATGGTGAGTAACATCGCTCGCTGGAGGAACTTCTTGCTGGCAACAAATAGAAGTGAAATGTTCAGGAAATAGTTTTCATTCACATGTTTTATTTTCTTATGCCTCAGTGGGAGGAAGTGGTTATTGGATAATATCTGAGGTTTACTCTCTTCCTTTATTCCCCCTTCTGTCCCATCCCTGGTTTGGGAATGGTGTTGGGCACAGGGACGTGAAATTCTGAATGAGGAGTGATGGGACAGCAGGTTCTCATACTATTTTTCAAACACTTTGCGTTGCAGCTTTAGTGCTTCTAAATCACCAAAGCTTTGCAAAAATTACAGAGTAGTTGCTGAGAATGCCCAGATCACTGTGGTCACACGGTTGTGTAGCTCTCCTAACAGCCTGTTTTTTCACTTGTTAGTCACCTCCTATCCATTAAGCATCCTACGAGTTGCTTATGCTAAAAAAGCGCTCTTTCTCTAATTATCACCTGTTTCCATAGAAATGCTGAAAGGTGTTGACCTGCAATTGTTGCGTGCATTCATCAGGGAACCATTTCATCGTGATGTAGTTGCTCCTTTGGGTTATAAATTCCCCCGTGGAGGTTTTTTTAGCATAATATTCTACTTGTAGGATACTCAGTGGAGCTTTGATGCTATAAAAAAATTGGAGAGTGTATATGCCAGGGGGGCGGGAATAGAAACTCATGGAAACTACCAAGTATTTCATAAACTCCTGCTTTACTGATCTTTTGGGGTTTATTTTCAGTCTGCAGATTTCAAAATTCTGCCCAACAGCTATGGGCACGCAAGGGATGCCTACGCGTTTGGAACAATGGTTGAAAATCTCCTGACAGTCCTAAATGATCAGGGTAAAGAACGACACAAGTTTATTTTGCTATCGACAGGCCTCTGTAGCTTATTCCTTGCGCGTGTTGAGCTATTTGCCTTTTGTTGCAACTGGCAGATTTGCTACAGGTTCGGTGGCCATTGTTCTTTGTGTTTGCTAAGTTAAAATGCAGACCTCGGCTTCCCCTGTATTCCCCTTTTGCTGCATTTGAACATGGTCAGATGTGGCTGCAGGCCACCAGCCCGTGTAACACGAGCACTCCCAAACCTGCTCTGCAGCAATCAGAGGTTCGCTTGCTCCTGCCCCACCAGCTGCCTTCATCAAGGGTTATGGACATGGGCACATGGATGTTGTGTACCACAACAGAGCGGGGGCTGCTGCCTTCTGGCAGAGGGGGAGCAGGAAGCTTCCTGGGAGGACAGTAGCACTCCTTGGTGCCCCACTAGCCAAGCAGCTTAGGAAGAGAAATGGAAATGCTATTTTCCCTTTTAGGGTCAGATATGAGCAAGTTTGCTATCAAATAGAGCTAAAAATAAGTTTGGGGGAGGGTGGAGGACTCCTGAACATTGCTTGTTCATTCTTGAGAGAGAAATCTAACTGTAGGTGCTCTGGATTTCAGTTTCAGCAGATATTCTCTCCAGCTTTCAGCAAACCTTGCACTGTACACTGCTGAATCCAGATCCAAAGTGTCGTCCACCACTGTCCAGCTTAGTGTCTCATGAGTTCTTCAGGTAAGGAAAGGAATATCCTGCCTCTCTTGGTACGTCTTGGTACTGCTTATTTCTGTGTTGCAAATGTGTTGATTTTGTGAAGGTGTGTTACTTAGCAGATGGGAAGCGCAGACTTAATCCCTACCTCTTACAGGGATCTTTGACAAAAGCTTCTTAAATTAAGAAAGCATTATCAGCCTTCCAAATGAGGTGCTGTGCTAGCAGTGGTGACAGAAGTGTGCCCCTTAGTTAGTCAGTTGGACCTCTCCAAGCTTGTGGGAGGTGGTGGGAAATGCTCTAGAAAATACAATCATTAGTGATACCACTGGAGCAAAGCAGGCTCCGAGATAATCCACAAAGAGCTGTGTCTGCTGTCACCTGAGTGCTTCTCTGGGTGGTGGCATTAGCGAAAGGTGGCACTTGGTTCTCCTCGTTGCCCTGGTAAGGTGGTCAGAGGTGGCTGATGCCGTGTTGCCCCAGGTCTCCACGTGAACTGCTGACTTCAAAGTGCAGCACTGTGCAGATGCAGCTTTCGGGTAACTGGTCACATCTCTGTGCTGGCGTTCTTGGCCCACCGGCTTTTGACTCGTATCCCTCTGTCTAGTTCTCTCTGATAAATGAAAGATGGGGATTTGCAATCTCTTAGTTGTGGGTGGTTTAAGCATCAATAAGGATCACACTTGACAGCCTACATATTTGTGCTTAGGAATGATTTTCTGGAAGTTGTGAATTTTCTGAAGACCTTAACACTAAAGTCTGAGGAGGAAAAAACTGAATTTTTCAAGTAAGTGAAGGAACTATGATCTGGAAGCTTCTTATTTCAGAAATACTTCTGATGAATGGGATTGTGGGGGGAACCTGGGAAGGCTAGTGGCTGGAGAGGTAGTTCCTCAGGTGGCAGATTTTGATTGCTTTGGTCCAACATTGTTTGCTTTGTAATATTTTTGGGTACTCCAGCCAAAGTAATGAAAGCATCAGAGAGGAAACTCTTCACTCCCTCCTTTCCCAATTTCTTGTGAATGGTTTGGTGTTTGGGAGGAGCGGTACCTGCTGGGCTCTGCATCATTCTGATACTTGCCAGCCTCCGGAGTGACGCTGTGTACAGCTGTATGGGCAGCAGTGGTTTTACCTGCTAGACCAATTGATGTTGCTGGACAATCAGTCAAATTGCACTGTAGTGACATACATCGCTTAAGGGCTGCTTTTCTGAATCGCATCTGCTTGCTAGCAGCTGGGTTGAACTCCTGCAGGGCCGAGAACAGAACCTTTCCCAGGAGTACAGGAATATGAAAAGGAAAGAATGTTTCCATTGCTCATGTTCTAATTGAGTTATTGCACTTTGTGGGGCATAATGTTGATGTTACTAGCAGAAGTTAAATTATTCTGGTTCTCTTCCACCCACTTTAGCAGCAGTGTCCCATCTCCCACCGCACCACGGCTAACCAGGAATCATTTGGAAACCCCATTCATGTGCTGTAGTGTTGCAGTAGAGGAGGGAGCGCGGCCTAACAGCTTATCTACTCAAGCTCTGTTGAACAGCTCCTCACTGGAGCTGTCCTGGGGTCCTGTTGCTTTACACAAAGGCTATCTGCCCAGTTTCAAAATGCTCTAAAATATCAGAGCCCTTCTTTTAATGTGCTGGAAAAAAAGAATCTTTCTCTTGCCTTGTTCTTAGAAGTAGCTTTATTTTAGATGCAACTTTGCTAAAAAGGGAAATCTAGCTCCAGGCACCTCTTGAGGCTGCAATTTTTTTTCCATTTAGGCAGATCTTGTAAACTGCTAATAAGAGAGATTTCAGTAAGACAAGTTGTGTGAATTAACCTTGTGGTGCTAGCCCTGTCAGGGTAAAGCTGTTGTCGGTAGTGGTTGTCTCAGCTGCAGTAGTGCAGCATCTGCAGGAAATCCTATTGTCATAGTCCCCAAGAAGTTTTCTCTAAGGGAAGCTTCCATGTAGTCATGGCATTATCTCGGCCTGAAAAAGGGATAAGGTGAATTTTTCTTTCTTTTTCCATGTAAAAGAGCCTGGGTGTTCCTACAGAGCTATTTTTCCTGCCTGTTTTATACTTCTGTCATCACCATCAGCGGTAACACTAGTTTGATTCCACTAGTTTGAGACTAAGTGGAGGAAATAAGAGGAGAAAGGGGATCTTAGCAGGAGCATTCAGAATGGTTCCCACTGTCTTTAACAGCAGTGTTTACTGAGGGAGGGAGTGAATACTTTTCTTAAAGATATGGCAGTGTTGCCCCTTTTATGAGGCAGAGGGGCTTTCATAGCATGTGCACTATTGCTCTTAGTCTCCTCCAAGCCTAGAGAAAAGCAGTAACTGTTACTGATATTTTAAAAATTAAAATCTTACAAGGAAGAGCAGTTGCAAAAAATCAAACTCTGTGACTTAAATAAATAAACCCAGCCCATACCCTGGCCACCTCTAAAATGTATTAGATAGAAGTGGTTTCAAAATGGGATTCCCTTTTTGCAAGGGAAAATTCCCTTGTGTGGTGGGTACAACAGCCTTTTCTCAAGCAGTAGGAAAACTCTTGCCATGCACCAGGCTGTGGGTTGAGAGGACAAATCTCTTCTGCAGTTTTAACGCCATAGCACTTCATGGGAGATACCAGCCCTGAGGCAGTTTGATGCCACAGCAGTGGGCAGCTTCTCAGAGGGGGAAGTCTTCATGTGCCAACTGAAGGTGCGGTGGTGCTTCTGGATGTGCTTGTGACAGCCTGTGATCTGGGTGTGGGGTTTTACAGGATGTGTCTCTGGCTCCTGTTTTGTGTTACCCTTGCCTGAAAGCCTCAGGCAGGAGCAGAGCCTTGTCCTTCTAGGTTAGAGTGCACGCAGAATGAGAGGCTGTGATGGGATGCTGTCTCTAGGAGATGAAGCAGACACAAAAAGAGGGGAAAGCGATATTAAGGGAAACAGTCATAAATGCATGGAAGGCTGTCTTGATACTAATCTTTCTCTCCTGGAACGCAGATTCCTGCTGGACAGGGTGGCTGGCTTGTCAGAGGAGCTGATAGCATCACGGCTGGTGCCTCTTCTACTCAATCAGTTTGTGTTTGCAGAACCTGTAGCTGTCAAGAGTTTTCTTCCTCATCTGCTGGGTCCAAAGAAAGGTGACCTTTCAATACTTTCTCTCTTCGCAATTATTACTGACAAGTTTGGAATTAATTCAGAGTGGTCATTCCATTGAATCAAGGGAGTAGTGGTGTTTAACCAGAACAAATACTGTAACATAGAGAACGGGAAAGGACAGTTATGTGTGCTTCCCCATTTGCAGTACTTTCCACTGCTCTGCTGATACTGGGAGGAGAATTAGGAATTGCCTGGGCTCTTTCCCAGGTTTACATGTCCCCCCAGCCTCCCCAGCTGTTGTACCGGCTTTCCCAGTGGCTCACTGTGTATGTCCCCTTCTCGCCTTTCCCCTACCCTGCCTCCCCTTTTTTCTTCTGCCACTCTACTCATTCTCCTGTAAGGGTGCTCAGTCTCTTCTCCTTTCCTCTGCAAGAGGTGTTCAGCATGTCTTGCTGGATCCCCAACTATGTCTGTCTCTGCTGTTTGCCTCCCATATCTTTAAAGTTTTTCCTAAATAGCTACTGGTGTTTCAGCCAAGTAATACCTGTCTTGTGACGGTTTGACCTTCAGTGTTCAAGAGCCATTGCTGTTAAGCAACAGCCACTGGCACTGCTGCCTCTCCTCCCTCCCATCTCTGATGTCCCAGGCAAGCTGTGTTGGCAGCTGACAAAGAATCAGACCTGGCAGTGGGGTGACACTGTAGATCTCAGCTGTGATGGTTTCTCAGCAAGTAGATTTTGGCTGGGCTGTCCCTTGTTGAAGCAGGCTTTTCCCATCTTCACCTCTCTTCCCTAGAGCAAACTGGAGAAAGCCAGACCAGCTGCCTCCTGTCGCCAGCCTTGTTCCAAACGCATGTCATTCCTGTGCTGCTGAAGCTATTTGAGGTTCACGAGGAGCACGTTCGAATGGTGTTGCTGTCTCACATTCATGCCTATGCAGAACTGTTCTCTCGGGAGGAGTTGAAAAACATCATATTGCCACAGGTTAAGGACAGCAATACGCAGTATTTTCTAGAACATGCGATTTCTGCTGCTCGGGTTGGTTCTTAGCTCAAAGTTAGAATCTCAGTGCTGGCCACAAACAGTTTGCAACCTCCTTCTATACAAGCCCTAACCCTTACACCCCATCCCGATCTGTAGTACTAGTTTTGTTCCAGTGCCCTCTGTCACGCACACCACCTGTGCTGATACCTGCCGGCCTTGACTGGCAGCCTCCCAACAAGAGACCGTGTTTCTGTTTTACACCACAGCTGTCAAGATTGGAGGAGTGATCTAAGCTCAGGGTGCCTTGGCGTTAGGGTCCAGTGCTCGCCAGGCACTGGGATCAGCCACTCTCTTTAGCTTGTAACACAAAGTGGTAGGCTGATTTTATGCTACAGAATAATGTCCAGTATCTACTGAGAGCTGTGGGAGATCGTAGGAATGAAATGTGCTGCAAATATAACATTTAAAGGGGAAAGAAGTGAAAAAGCAGAATTTTCTGTTCTTGGTAATGTTGTTATGTTCTTGGTGTAGGTATTGCTGGGCCTTCGAGATACCAGTGACTCTATTGTTGCGATAACACTGCACAGCTTAGCAGTTCTCGTCTCCCTGCTTGGACCTGAAGTAGTTGTAGGTGGAGAAAGAACGAAGATTTTCAAAAGCTCTGCGCCAAGTTTCATGAAAACTGCTGATCTCTCCCCTGAAGGTAAATTATATGGTCAGAGTGCTCTTGGGATTCTTGCCCATTCTGTCCGAGCAACATAGGCAGAACTTCTTGGATGATTAATCTGTTGCTGTTGACAGGTTAATTGAAAAAAAGCTAATTTGCAGCTAAACTTCAATTCTAAATTAGGTACTGTTTGCAGATACAGAATTGATATCAGAAGAAGAGTTATGTGAAAGTATTTTAAATGTAGGAAATATATGGAAAAAAACTTAAATCTCTTCTTCCTTTAAGAATCTCTATAAGTAAAGGAGATTTGTTAAGTGTGTGTGTTTGTCTTTGGTGGAAAAACCATATTGCCCTTCTAAAGGACTTGCGTACTTATCCAGATAGTTGTTTAATATTCCCTCTGTCCCTCATGTTTTTAAAAATAGTAAATCTCATCCTCTTCCCCCAATTTCTATTCATAGATTGGAAAAGGAGTACAAACTTCCCTATTTTCTCAGCTCTCGGGAGGCTTTTCAGCTAATCCAAATGAAGACAGTAGTCCCTGCACCTGCTAGATAACTTGGAACCAAGTGTACCAAGAGAAAGCTTTTCTGGATATTGAAACTAAGAATGCTTATAACTGGAGGGAAGAATCAGCATTTGTTCTACTTTAGACACATAGATACCAAATGAAATGCATGATAGAGCTCAATTTAAGTATAAATGTTTTCTTCCTGATGGTGTGTGTACCGACAGCTACCACCCTTTATTAAAATCTGTGGATGGCTTGTTGCATTATTTTTCTTTACATTATTGATTTAGTAGACTATAGTAAATAAACCCCTTTGGATTGTATGCTAAAACCAGGTTTATTTTTTCAGAAGATATTTAAAATTAGACCTGATTTAACTATTGACAAACAACAAAAAAAACCCCCTTTGTCCTCAACAGTGTGATGACTTGCAAAAACCAGTACTAGAGACTGAACATGTGAGGCTTAATAAGCTGTTTGCTTAAGCCCCTAAAAGGATGTACCTTTTATCAAGGGCACTTTGGGGAGGGGGTGGGTTCTGTGTGTTAGTTGCAGTCCTTTCCTGTGCCGCAGGCCCTGTGTCTCTGGCTGTGCTGGTAACCCCTAGCCTGGACAGGCACAGGAGGCGGTGGAAGCAGGTGCAGCCATGGCCCAAGCCATGCTGTTCTGGGGTGGTGGCAACAGGGCCTCACACAGCTGAGGCTGCTGCTGGTGAATCACTGCCACAACTCCCCAAAATGAAGTGGAACTAGGTGCTTGCTGAGCTATCATCACTGGCCCAGGGAAACAAACCTGCCTTGTGCAGCTTCAAAGCATGGCCTTGACTGCCAACCACCCCACCTCACCTCAGGTGTGGTACAAGGGAGGCTGTCATACAGCCTTCAGGGTAGAGACTCTTGTTCCTGTAAGCTGGTTTGCTCATGTCCAAGCATAAAAGAGGGTTTGTGTAGTTGCATGAGTTTGCTTATGCTTTGAATTGTTGTGACTATCAGTGAGTGCTGTGCTTTTGTGTGAGAGGCAGGTAAACAGGGGATTTGTGATGCCGTGCAGTACAGAAGCTGGGGTTTTGGATCCAGCCAGGTGGCAGACAGCATTTTTTAAGCATCTGTGCTGATCATAATCAGTTTGTTCATTGTGTATTTCTTGAAAGAACGTATCAGCAGAAACTGACCATTTACAGTTGCCCAAACTTTGTACTGGCAAGAGCTGCAGATGGCAGGAACAGAGGAGTATTGTGTTATATACAGCTCAAGAGGTGCAGCTGTTGGATTGCTGCACTAGTCTTCATTCAGTATTGCTTGTCAGTGTTGTAAATAAGACCACTGCAATGCTGCGGGCAGTTTCAGCTAAGACTGACAATACACCTTGTGGACCTGGTGTCCTTCCTTTTCTTTTATCGCTGCAGACTCCCCCAGTCATGTTGCAAGCAATCAGAGAAATCAAACCTGTCGGCCCTTGAAGATCAATTCTAGTGTGTTCCCCATCACTGGAAAGGTACCTGTCAAGAAGCTTTCTGTGCAGCAAGACAATCCACTGGCTTTAAAGACAGGTAAAACTTAGCCCTAGCTCTTCCTTTTTTAGAAATCAAGTGTTCTACAAATGAAGTGTTGCTTGAAAAGATGTTCGTTTTCCCTGTGTGCTGATCTGAAAGATTCAGTGAACCAAGGAAGGTAACAGTGAAGGAAGGAGAGTGTTGACCCTTGACTTCCTAGGGAATAGTTATTTGGGAATCATGATATACACAGACTGCTGGCTGACTGGCCTTGAATTTCTGTTTCCTTATGGCAGGTTCTCTGCTGTGCTTTTTCACCCCTCCCACAGCTTGGCCGATACACTGGATTTATAGGTCAGCTCATTCTCTGGCCTCAGAAGCGGACTCAGTTTACTTTCATTGCCTTTTTTCAGTCACCTATTGCTTATCAGCAGTCAGCTTTTATTGCCCCAGGGCTTTGAGATGAATACCCCTCCATTGCAAGCAGGAAGGTGGCCGTGCTTTCTAATACAAGAGGAGCTTAGCGCTGAAGCATCTTTCAGTCAGCATTACTGGCTTATTTCCATGCCAGGTGCCACCTGTGATGTCAAGGAGGTTTAGGCACAACTCTGTCTCTACACTTGCTCTCTTGCAATGAGTATGTAACAACACCTTTGTCTTCTATAGGTGAGCATGACACTCAGTCCCCCCTGAATGGAATGCCTGGAAGCATTAATATGCTAGGGAGCAGCAGGAGCTCTTTGACTACCTCTGAAAAGCCAGCAGAGGAGTGGCCAGACTGGAGTGAGCCAGAGGAGACAGAGACTGAGAAAACTGTGAACATTCAAATTCAGCCCCGAGAGCCGCGGGGCAACGTGAGACCTTATTTTGCTGAACATCATGTAGATGAGAAGCCATGGGATGACTTTGAGCCCAGCAGTCCTAGTCCTGAACTGTCCTCAGGAAACTGCCTCACTGTGACACAGGCTGATGCAGTTGAAATGCCAAGGCCTCTGCCGGGTACCCATCAACTGAGCAAAGAATTCAAAAGCCTCAGACTGAGTCCCCCTGCAAAGTCCTGTCCTGGGAACAGCTGGAGCAATGACAAGTGGGACGACCAGGAACAACTAGGAGAAACTGTGCTGCCAAAAATGACCTTTCAGGAAAGGTTGAAGTCTTCTTCGGAGTCTGGCCTAGGAGAAGAATTCACGATCAAAGTGAAGAGGAAACCCACACAAGACCCTGAGCTGGACTGGTTTGCTGACATGATCCCAGACATTAAACCTTCTTCAGCTATCTTGATTTTACCTGAAGCGAGGACAGAAGCGGTTGTTCCCAGTCACTCTGGTGTAGTATCCAGCAGAGAAGGTGCCTCCCAGAATGTGCTGTTTTCATCCAAATTTGCAGCAGCTGATCTTATTGAGGTAAGAAGCTATAGGCAGTGGGGTTTAAATGACTGCACACTTGAGAGGATCCTAAAAGCATGTACATAGCACAACACACTGTTGTAGCACCAGCTGGCTCCTTAATCAGATGGTGGATAACCTGAGGAAGTATCAGCAGCATACGACTGTACAGTTGAGTCTTTACATGTGAATACAAGATGCTGAGCCCTGAATGATGCATCTTACCAGGCACCAGGTAATTCAGTGGGCCGTTACTACAGCAGCAAGAGAGCTGTGTTAAGAAACAGTGAGGGAGTGGACTTAACTTGTACACTACTAAAGGCACTGACTAAGGAGTTTTAACGTGTCCTGCTGTATCCTGGATGCAAGGACCCTACACTACATTAGGGAGAGTCTTGGTTTGTTGGACAGGTAAAACAAGGCTGGATCCTGTCTGCTGAACAGGCATGGCTCCATGCACAAACTGAAGGGGGCTTTTAAGCATAGAGGATGCTCAGGACTGAGTGTTGCTCCTGGCTCTTCTGGGAAAACCTAATAGCATTGTAAATAACAGATCAGGAACCCAGAACCCTGGATTGTAGAGTAAAGCTTTTTGGGTGCTTTGTTTTCATGAAAGAATAGCTGAGACATTTCTCTGTTTCAGACGAACCAGAGGGGTTATAAAATTGCCTTTTTAAGTAAGGAGGTAAATCCCTCTAGCCCCATCACAGACTCCAGAGACTGCTTCTGTTTCCTAGGAGGGGAGGCAGCACTCCCAACACTGCCCCCTGAACACATAACTCCATTAGGGAATAGGTGTTGATTTCAAGTTGTTTTTCTAATTCAGTCTCAAGAGAGCTACCACAGGGGTAGCAGGTAGCATGGGGAGAGGAGTCTTGGATGTAAACTGAAGTTGTTTATGATGTTTGAAAATGGCACACTGTTGTGATATCAACCCCATTTGGGAAGGGATTCACGCGCTGTAGTGCAGTCAGTGCTGTGGAGTAGTAGAAGAGCTGTGTCAGTGGATGGGTGAGACCAAACTCATAGTGTTAGAATAAAGCAGGACAACAGCTCTTTCCTAGGGGGAAAGAAATCATCTAGTTTATACCATCCTGTTCTTAATGGAAAGTGGTTTTGGTACAACCAGTTCTTGCTTCAATTTTAGGAAAAAAGGACTCTCTTAGTTTGCTCTTGTCTTTAAGGTAAAGACCTTTTAACTACAAAAGGAAACAAGGTAGCTGCAAATACTGGCACTTCATTTTTGAATTGTCAAATTCGGCATTCTGGATGAATGTCTTTCTTGCTCTGCCATTGCAAGCTACACAGGCTACTGGCTGGCTCCTGTGGCTGTGCTAAGTACAGAAGTACAGTACACATGCCTTAATGTTGGTAATTTTACGTGATTCTAGGCTGAAGCTGCAGGCTGGGGTGAAGAAGAGGAGTTGAACTGGGAAGATGATACTAACTGGTAATGGGACTGAAAGAAACAAAGGCAATTTATGGTGTGTTGGATTCTGTAAGAGAAGTCGCTGCTTCCCCAATACAATGGATAAGTACCTCAGCACTGCTTTTGCCAGAAGGCAGGCACTTGCTGGAGCAGCCAGCAAGATCCTGTGGGGCCCGATCTCTTGCAATGGATGCTCCTTTCCAGTCTGTGCCAAAAACTGCAGGGGTGAGGCCTGCACTCAAGCAATACGCCCAGCCGTGGTGCGCGCCACTGCTACCGGAAAGAGGAATGGCGTGATGGGTGTGTTGGTCCTAATGTGCTACTGGAGGCCAAGAGCGGTGTAAGCGATTGTTCCAGAACTCATCCCTGCTCTGAAAAACTGATGACAATAAATGAAAGTCACATCGAGTTCCTTGGTTAATGTGCCTTTTTCTTTTTTTTTTCTTTTTTTCAGAAAAGTAAAGCTCTTAGAAATGGCTCCTAAGAGATGATTTTTAAGATGAATGTACAGTTTACTCAACTTATTTATTTCTGTTTATATAGTTCTGTCAGTGGATAGCATAAGAGGTGCTAGGAACCGTGCAGTGAAGGACCACTGAACACAAACGGCTTAAGCACTGCATTCTTTCTGCTCTTAACTGTGACCAGTAAAGATTATTTTTAAAAGATATGCATGGAGTGGAACCAGCAGCAGAGGTATATTCAGAGAACAGTATAGAGCCTTAAATTGTTATTTTTGAGTGTATTTTAAAAATAAAATAAAAACGCCTACTCTGGTCACCTGTACATGACAGGAACAAAGGTAACTGTTACTTCTACAACAGATTCAAACATCTTAGTATTCAAAATACAATCTCATGAAATGTATAGCTTGCTCTTCTAAGCTACTGCATGGTGATAAACATTTGCAATATACATAAGGACAGTTCATGCACAACAGTGTCCATTAAAATATCAGTCCTTCCACCCAGTTATTATGAAAGATGGGCCAACATCTCACACCTCAGTTCATTTTGGCACATTAACTGAGACCCAGCAGTACAGTAGAGCATCCCCTGTGTCACAGTTTTTTCTTCTCCAGCAATCATGGTACAAAGGCATCTCTTCCCTCAGAACAGGGAGTTGAGCTGTTTTATTGTCTCTAAAACCTGCTGAGCACCTTACCGTACACTGTCTCTGAGGACAGCTATAGCTGTATGTAGAGCCTCCAGTTTCACTGCAAGCCAAGCAGGGGGTGACCCTTTCTGGAGCAGCAACTTCACAGCCTCCACTGCCCCCTCCATCGTGCCGACTGCTGACTTATACTGCTCCTCAGAGGGTGAGTGACATGCTCTTTTTGCCAGAGGCTGCAGATTTAAGTAAACATGAGACATCATTTATAATGCTCTACATAAATGATCAGTCTTCATCCAAATGCAAGAAAACGCCTGATGGAGAAGAGCTGCAAAAGACTCCCTTGCCTTGTGCGAGTTCTTGCTGGCTGGCAAGCAGTACAGAGCATTCAGGTATAGTATTAAGGGGCAGGAGTGCACAGGACCTTTTTTTCTTAGAACATGGGAGGACAGCAAGACCATCTTGAACCGCTTTAGATACTTCCCAGAACTGACAGAAATCGACAATAGAGCCCAGACAGATTAAAGCAGTGCACATACCTCTCCTGTTGACTCCAGTTCTCCATCCATTTTCATAAGCTGTGCACTGCAGGTAATCCTTTCTTGCTTCACGCGTTCTGTTCGTGCTTCTGTTGTCTCTTCTACTTGCCTCGTCTAGGGAGAAAGCCACAGGAGAGGTAATTAAACCAAGGCAGCATTACCAACCGTCATAGGCTCAATTTATATGCCAGAACAAAGGGGAGGGCGGAGAGATCTTGATGTGCTGTTCAAAGTGAATCTAATTTCTCACACACTCTTCTGAGCAAGAGATTGAAGTTATCTACAACTTCGGTGTAGCATGACTGACTGTTGGTTCTTTTGCTAATTATCTGCTTGTCAAAAACTGTTTGTCCAGATAGCCCTGCATTAGGTTACAGCATGATAAACACCCCCCCTTTCCCCTTGTCTATATTCTGCATGCATAGCCATCTGGTCTTAGAAAAATTTTTCTAACATACAAAAAGGACTAAGGCATTTCATACATATCCATTTAGCTTTCAGAAACTGATCCAAGAGAAACGGGAAAGGAAATCACACAAACCAAATGATGAAATCCCTGTCTTTTAATAGGTAACTTCTCTGCTTAGAACAATAATTGTGCCATTTAACCATTTATTTTGTTCAAAGAGGGAAAAGCAAAGCATTTAAATCAAAGTTGGGAAGTACTCTAAGAGCAGCATGCATAGGAATGGCAGTTGTTAATTCTGCTGATTAAAGCAAGTAGAAAAGTTCAACCAGATCCCAGTTAACAGAACAATTTATTTTAAACTTACTTATTTTATCGCCATACAGATAATGCAGGTGTCAACATAGACTGCGTACTGCTTATAATGGATGTGTACAACATCAACTAAGAAAGCAGTAAAATGGTTCAATAACATACATACCTTAGCCAGAAAACTAACAACTTTGTTCTTAGTTTCTTCAGAATTAAGGCACTGAGGAACAACATCTTCATGGCTTGTTTCCTGTCAAAATTGTTGAGTAATAATTGTTTAGTACATTCATATTAACAAAGGAATAAACAAAGTAAAAAATGTTTCTGTGACAGTCCCTTCTCTGTTGCAACCAATGCTCAATCTTCCTTCACTTCCAGCTCCTGACATAACTTACAACTCATTAGCCCTCATCACTTTTGATGTGCAATAGCATCTGTAATACTGAGATCCAAATCAGTCAGTGAAGAGCAGCAAACATTTAAGACAGGAGAATTTCTGTACAACGTAAGTTAACAGTGCCAAATGCATGCATCCAGAGTTCTGCTATGCTTACCTCTGCAAAATGTGTGAATGCCTCCAACGCGTGCTGATGAATCAGCCAGGTCTGGTCAGCTAGCAGCGAAGCAAACAAACATGACAACTGGGGTACAACTTGCCTCTGAAAGAGGAACAAATATCTGTCAGTTCCACAGAGTTAGCTGTGCATATCTTACCATCATGATTTATTATTAAAGAATCGCTCTGAGGTCAAGGGACAGGTTTGTGAAATGCAAGAGTGCTACTGCCCTGTCTGGCAAAAAAAAAAAAATAAAAAAACCCCACACTGTAAAGGAGGTGACATGTTCTGTTCTTTCTTCTTGGAGGTTCAAATATCAGTCCTTTCTAACTGGTGAGAAGCAACAAGCAAATGAATAAACCAACCATCTTGCATGCACTCAGCATGTCTCAATGAAAAATAAAACTGCCATAGACCATTAATAATTCTCCAAGATGATTATGCCCTGGCACTCCTGTATGTATTTAATGAACTTGATCCTTTAACTTTATATTTAAATAAATAGCATATCTTTTCATCAAAAGACTGAAGACTATTTCACTAAGGCCACAATTATATTTACCTGTGCTTCTTGTGGTATAAACACCTTTCCCATAGAAGAGAGAAAATCCACCATTGCTAGACGAACGTGATCTGGGGGATCCAATTGGAAAAGGGAAGACTGCAGTGCAAATACCTGCAGAAAACAAACCCCAGCAAAGCTACATCAAACAGTTTGCAGGTGAAAACTGTTCTGTCTCACCTTTAAACCTGAGGACATTGATTTTAGAAAACTGGACTGAAAACAAAAGGAAGCATGCTACACCTTGAATAAAACTAGCTAGGATAAAGCTGCAGTGTGCATTTTAGAAAGAAATTCACATGCTCTATAGCATATCCATGTATCTCAATTACCTTACACAGTAATGGAATTCTCAAAAGCACTGTTAACCGAAGTGCTATATACTTGGTGTAAAGACCAGGAAAGTAATAAAGGAAGAAATAAAATCAGGAACCTCCATGTGTTAAGAGAAGGCCAGACCATGAAATAACTCATTGGAGATTCAGTAAATCACAGAGAACTTGGTTTTCATGAAGTAAATTATTCATAAGAAGGTTTTATTTTGGTTTTTTTTTTACCTGAGTAATCAGTTGGGCATCTAATGCTTGGATAAAAAATTCCAAAAGGTGAAGCAATAAACACAGTGTCTGCTGGAGACATGGCTCATCTGAGACCTTCAACAAATCACAAGATAGTAGTAACACTGCATTTTAGCTTATGGAATAACTACTTAAGAAAGAATTTAAAGCTACAGTAGCGTTCCAAAATTCTTAGCCTAACTTCACACACATAAGCCAACACATCATAAGCAGCAGAAGAAAGTATTAAAATAGTCATATCAATATTTCTAGGTAGTCATATTTTACAAGACCCTTTACTTTGATTTTTATTAAGAATATTTCTATCCCTCATCTCCTCCTACTCACTAAAATAAGCAGCTAAAGGTTATCTGAACTATTTCTTTGTACTTCCCAGTTGCCAAATGTCTTCACAGAATGGCTGAGGTTGGAAGAGAGCTCTGAAGGGACACATTATTGGCTCTTCTTCACCCCCACTCTCAAACTTCCTTTTTTAATCTGGAGTAAGAACCATGACAATCCTTTTCCTTTACTGCAGCTGCAGACAGGTATACAGTCGCAAGGGAATCACCTTACCCCCTTGTTCTCAAATATGGGAGGAAGATTACTGGCTCATTGGGTTTTCATGTGCTAAGCTATGTGCGAATTAAATCACCATGAGTTTTGTTCACATGCTAATGAACATTTAAAATAGGCCAAATCTGTAACTGTTATGAATCAAAATGAGGTATTTCAGACTTCTCCTTAAGCAAGTCTGAATCTGACACTGAGTAAAAGATGGAGTAACAAGGAGCCATATATGTAACATTCAGGCAAATTCAAACTCCACTCCACAGAGCACGTGCCTGCCTAATTACATAAACCAGCTGACAGCAGATGGG